ATGCACTGGTTCACATGGTCTGTGCCACACGTGGGTACATATATACATACATATACCCGTGTATGTGTGTATGGGTGCATGCGTACGTCCTAAGTGGTGCGTGATGACTGTTGACTTACCTTGACTGCATTAATAGGTGCTCGCTTACAGCACTTGCTCCAAAAGTGTGTATCTATACGGGCTATATTTGTCTGTTATTATGTATGTATGTAAGAATGGCTCTGTATATGATGTGGTTATACTCATGTGCATATATATGAGGGTGTTTCCCCCCGGAACGTATTCAAGTCCGAGTCGACCTAAGGGAGACCCAGAACAGGTTTCAGATATTCGCCACTGATGTTGGCCGCGTGAGGGTAATCGAACTCGTGTCGCTGGGTTTGTCATTAATACACTGCAGCTTCCCACCCCAGAATGTGTGTACACACACACCCAACAACAGTTTCTATTCCACACGGCGCGGCGGTGACGTCACCGCAGCGCTTGTGCCAGGCTAGGTGCACTTTGAGGCTAGCACGTGAAGTGTGGAAGGCTGACTGCAGGCAGGTCACGGGATAGACCCAGGTGTCACTGGTTGACTGAAATGACTGGCAGATGCACCACTAGTGCTCCCCATTCTGCCAACTCGCTGCGTTTTAGCCGCCCTTCGCACCCCCTCGTTGTTGTGAGCGTCGCTCCTCGGCCCTTTGCTGTTGTTGGAGGGCGACTGCCTCCAACTGCCCGGTAGCAGCGTCCTTCATGAGCCTCCTCCTCCACAGAGGCCCATCTTTACCACCGCTGCTACCAATCATCGGCAAGTCCACTCAGCTCCACGTCCTCCTGTACCACATCACTCCATCTCTTCTCCAGCCCGTGCCGCGCCCGTTTAGCCCCCTCTATGCGGCCAAACAGAAGCTGCTTGGGGGCATGCGGTTGGCTGGGCATGCGGGCTACATGACCAAGCCAATGCAGCCTCGCCTGCCGGAGGAGCTCAATGATGGGGACTGTGTCCAGATCGTACAAGGAGCTGTCATATTCTTTGGTTCTTTCGGTAAAGTCACGTGGATAGAAAAATCAAATACAAGTTCTTTTTATAATAATAATAATAACAACAAAAAAGATAAAAAATAGAAATTTTATTTTTTTACTTTATTTTAATTTTATTTTCTATCAACGTGGCTTTACCGAAAGAACCAAAGAATATGAATTCCTGCAGTCACGAAAGTAAAAATTAAAAAAATCTGTCATTTGTCTGGTTAAACCCTAGATGGATCGTAGGCAGGCCAGCCTAAATGTTGCAAACCTGCGCAGATGTTCCTTTAAAAGGGAAGGGGATCGACGCTTCGCAAATGAAGACGAGAAGACACACACACATCACATCACGGCGGCGTACGTGTATTTGATTCCACGACGGGAGAGCGGTGGCGCAGTGGTTTGCGCACCGCGCGAACAATCTGGCGAATCGCCGAGTCAGATGTGAACCTGTCCCGGGCATTGACCCCTCCTTCATCAATTATCTCACGCGGTGTCTCCACGGCGAGGTACGGTCACAGCGAACGACAAAGGGCTGTCAATGATCGTCATCATCATCGTCGTCGTTATTATGACTACGAGCAAAGCCGAACGCGCTTTGAAGTACAACAGTCTCCTGTCCAGCCCGTCCGCCAGCCAGCCAAACTTTTTTTAGATAATATAATTATGATGACTACGATGTTTAGTTAACGTGACGATAACGAGTGTGTGGGGGGAGGGCAGTGTCTGTGAGGTGTGTGTAGTGTGTGTGTGTCTGTTTACCTTGCAGATTAAACACAAGTACTGGTTCATTCACAACAGAGAATTTGAAATCTCCGTCGGTCTTTGTTTACAGTCGCTGTTGCGTGTGTGCGGAACTGTGTGTGTGCTGTGTGTGTGTGAACCTGTGTGTGTGAACCTGTGTGTGTGTGAACCTGTGTGTGTGTGCGGATCTGTGTGTGTGTGTGAACCTGTGTGTGTGAACCTGTGTGTGTGTGCTGTGTGTGTGTGAACCTGTGTGTGTGAACCTGTGTGTGTGTGTGAACCTGTGTGTGTGTATGTGGGGAGCGGTAGTGTGGCTGTTAGCGCGCTGCGCTACGAACCCGGCCACCCGAGTTCGATTCCCGCTCACGGCCACCAACACCAGTGACGATTATCTGAAACGGTCCTGGGCCTCCTCTAGGTCGACTCAGCCTCAAATGAGTATCTGTTTGCGGTGCATAAAAAACATCGCCACTGGGGGAGACAAAGGCGGCCGGGTATCGTGCTGGCCACCCACCCCCTCACTCGTGTGCCGTGCCGGCCTTCATAGATGCTACTCGCTAACAGCACTTGCCCCAACAGTCTGTTAAGGCTATACGGAGGATCTATGACTTTGTTTTGGGAGCGGTGGCGCAGTGATTAGCGCACTGCGCTTCATAAGACGATCACCCTGAGTTGGATTCCCGATCACGGCCATCGTCACCGACGAAAATCGTCGCGATTCCGGGCCCTGCTTTTAGGTAGGCTCAGCCGTAAATGAGACAAAGGAGGCCGGGTGTGATACCCGCCTTAATAGGTACTCGCTAACAACACTTGGCATACTGATATATTTTTCATGTGTAGGGTGCCTTGATGTGTGTGTATATATACAATCAGTGCTACGTATGTGGTGTGTGTGTGTGCATTGCGTGTGGATTGTGTTTCTCGGTAAGTGCGCCTTATGGGATATCTTGTGTCTGTGTGTTGGCCGTGTGTGGTGTGTGTGTAGTGTGTGTGTTGGCCGTGTGTGTGTGTGTAGTCTGTGTCTTGGCCGTGTGTGGTGTGTGTAGTCTGTGTGTGTGGTGTGTGTATGAGTGTGCGCGTTTATTTCGTGGGGAGCGCTGCGCTACGAACCCGGCGATCCGGGTTCAATTCCCACTCCCGGCCAACACCAAGTGACGTTTATCTGCACCGGTCCTGGGCCTCCCCTAGGTCGACTCGGCCTCAAATGAGTACCTGGTGCGGTGTGTGTTAACATCGCCACTAGGGAGACAAAGGCGGCCGGACGTGTTTCTGGCCACCCACCCCCATAGGCGCTCGCTAACAGCACTTGCCCCAACAGTCTGTTACAGGTTACACGGGTGATCTTTGCCTTAGTCTTTGTCACGCACCCTTGTCCGTGTGGGCATACTGTGCATAGGTGCGCGCGTGTGTATATGCGCGTTCGTGTGCTGTACTATATACGTGTGTATTGGGTGTGTGTGTATACGTGTGTATGTATAATTGTTACGAGTGTATATTTTCTATTCTGTATATATATACATATTGAGTGATGCATAGCCACCCATCCACCCCTCGTGTGCCGTGCCGGCCTTCACATGTGCTCGCTAACATCACTTGCCCCAACAGTCTATTAAGGTTACACGGGGGATATCTATTTTTTTTACACAATTCTATATCGAGATATTAAAACACATATATAATATGTGCATGTGTGCGTGTGTGCATATATACGTAGGCGAGCAGGGAGATCTCGGGAAAAAAACATCGCATGAGACGAACACGAAACCCCGAGCCGCTCGCTCACGGCGTGGACTCCTTAGCGGAGCGCGTGCAGAGAGCGCGGGGAGGGGGGGGGAGAGGGGGAGAGAGGGGGGGAGAGGGGGAGAGGGGAGAGTGCGGGGAGAGAGTGCGGGGAGAGGGAGAGGGGGGGAGAGGGGGGAGAGCGCGGGGAGAGGGGGGAGAGTGCGGGGAGATGGGAGAGGGGGGAGAGAGGGGGAGAGTGCGGGGAGAGGGGAGAGGGGGGGAGAGAGGGGAGAGAGCGCGGGGACATGGGAGAGGGGGGGAGAGGGGGGGAGAGAGGGGGGGGAGGGGAGAGGGGGAAAGAGCGCCCAGAGAAAGTGGGGAAGCGTGGGGAGAGGGGGGGGAGAAGGTGGGGGGGGGGAGAAGGGTGGGGGGAGAGCGCGGGAGGGAGTGGGAGAGTGCGAACAGAAGGGGGGGAACACCGGGAGATAGGGAGAGAGAGGGGGGGGAGAGAGGGGGGGGGAGAGAGGGGGAGGGAGAGAGAGGGGGGGGAGAGAGGGGGGGAGAGGGGGGGAGAGAGGGGGGGGGAGAGAGGGGGGGAGAGAGAGGGGGGGGGAGAGAGGGGGGGGAGAGAGAGGGGGAGAGAGAGGGGGAGGGAGAGAGAGGGGGGAGAGAGGGGGGGGGAGAGAGGGGGAGGGAGAGAGAGGGGGGGGAGAGAGGGGGGGGAGAGAGAGGGGGGGAGAGGAGAGAGAGAGAGGGGAAAGTGCCGAATGAGTGAGGCGAGTTCGAAGAGAGGCGCAGAGAGAGGCGCACGGGAGGGCGGGAGAGTACGAAGAGAGGGAGAGCACGGAGACGTGTTGTAGAGCGGAGAAGAGAGAACGGAGAGAGAGAGTGCCGGGGAGAGGCAAAGCGAGAGAGTGAGCGAGAGAATGAGCGAGAGAGAGAGCGAGTGAGAGAGAGCGAGAGAGCGAGCAAGCGAGAGAGTGAGCGAGAGAGCGAGCGAGAGAGCGAGCGAGAGAGCGAGTGAGCGAGAGAGCGAGCGAGCGAGGGCAACATAAAGCCCCGTTTAAAAAAAAAAAAAAAAAAAAAAAAAATTACGAAATGATGACCGAAACAAAGTGCCGAATACACCGAGCATCTTCTTGTTTCCACTGATCGTAAAAAAAAAAAAAAAAAACAAAAAAGAGGCAAAGCGAGTGAGAGAAAGAGAGCGAAGAGAGAGCGGGGAGAGAGAGCGGAGCGGGGAGAGAGCGCGGAGAAATCGTAGCGACGCGTGCGGGAGAGAGACGCGGGATCAGGCATCTAGAGGAAAACACGACGGAGAGAGAGGGAGAGTGCAGGTGGAGAGGGTCTAGAGAGAGAGCGAGAGAGAGTGCGGGGAGAGGGTGGGGAGAGTGCAAGGAGGGTGCAGGGAAAGTGCAGGGAGTGGGTGGAGAGAGGGAGAGAGAGTGCAGGGAGAGGGTGGAGAGGGTCGAGAGAGAGAGAGCGAGAAAGAGTGCGGGGAGAGGGTGGGGAGAGTGCAAGGAGGGTGCAGGGAAAGTGCAGGGAGTGGGTGGAGAGAGGGAGAGAGAGTGCAGGGAGAGGGTGGAGAGAGTGCAGGGAGAGGGTGGAGAGTGCGGGGAGAGTTCAGGGAGAGAGTCTAGAGAGGGTGGAGAGAGAGAGAGAGGGAGAGAGTGAACGTGGAGAGCGCACGACGCGTCATGGATGCGGGACACGAGTCGTCTTCGTGGCTCCGCCGCTTCTGGATGCGCAGCTCGGTTGGGCGCTAGGATCACAGCAACAACAACAACAACCACAACAACAACCACAACAACAACCACCACCACCACCAACCACCTCGTTCTCAACCACCGCGACCATCATCACAACCTCTTCGAGCGCAAAGGTGAACGCAGGGAAGCATCCCGCACAGCTTCATAGACCGTCGTCGTCATCATCGTCATCATCATCGTCGTCATCATAATCGTCATCATCATCGTCATCATCGTGGTCGTCATCATCATCGTCATCATCATCGTCGTCATCATCGTCGTCATCATCGTCATCATCATCGTCGTCATCATAATCGTCGTCATCATCGTCGTCATCATCGTCGTCATCATCGTCGTCATCATCGTCATCATTACCGTCGTCATCATCATCATCGTCATCATCATCGTCATCATCATTACCGTCATCATCATCGTCATCATCATCGTCGTCATCATCATCGTCGTCATCATCATCGTCGTCATCATCGTCATCATCATCGTCTACATCATCATCGTCGTCATCATCGTCATCATCATCGTCGTCATCATCAGCGTCGGCACCGTTACATTCGCAATCATCACCAAATGTAAATCATCGCCATGTTGCTGTAATCACTACCATCGTGACAATGTATATAATCAATGTACCACCATCGTGGGTGTAATCACGAGCGTCGCTACAATCGATGCCACCATCAATGACATCGCCGCCGTGGTCACCAACGTCGTCACATCTGCAATCGCTACCACCACCACCAGCTTCATGGCCCTCAAGATCACCACCACCTTCATCTCGCTCCCTCTCTTCCAAATCATAACTACCACCACCACCACGACCTTCCCCGCTATTATCACCACCACCACCATCATCAACAACATCCACCACCACCAACAACCACCACCATCATCAACAACCACCACCATCATCAACAACATCCACCACCACCTTGCTTCTCGCCGCCAACGTGTGCTGGTCTGGCCGTATCGAGCCTCGAGTGGCGTTTCGGGCGATCGTGGTGGGGGTGGTGGTGATGGTGGTGGTGGTGATGGTGGTGGTCGTGGTCGTGGTGGAGTGGTGGTGGTAGTGTGATGGTGGTGGAGTGGTGGTGGTCGTGGTGGAGTGGTGGTCGTGGTGGAGTGGAGTGGTGGTCGTGATGGTGGTGGTGTGATGGTGGTGGTGTGATGGTGGTGGTGGAGTGATGGTGGTGGTGATGGTGGTGGTGGTGTGATGGTGGTGGTGTGATGGTGGTGGTGTGATGGTGGTGGTGGAGTGATGGTGGTGGTGATGGTGGTGGTGGTGTGATGGTGGTGGTGTGATGGTGGTGGTGATGGTGGTGGTGATGATGTGATGGTGGTGATGGTGGTGGTGTGATGGTGGTGGTGGTGGGGTGGTGGTGGTGTGATGGTGGTGGGGTAGTGGTGGTGTGATGGTGGTGGTGGTGATGGTGGTGGTGGGGTGGTGGTGATGGTGTGATGGTGGTGGTGGTGGTGTGGTTATCCGTGAATTATTATTCGGATTATAAGACGCACTCACTTTACCCCCCCCCCCCCCCACCTCACAGATGTAAAACAAAAGTGTGTGGGGGGGGGGTTGCAACTTAGAATCCGGTACTTTAAAACAAATTTGTGACAACGTCAACAACAACAACAACGTCAACAACAACCTCGACGCATTCGTCAACAACACTGTGGCCCTAAACGGAATATATATATATATACAAATAGGCGACGTTTCAGGCAACGGTCCTTCTCCATGGCACATAGCCAAACAAACAAACAAAAAAACACTCACACTCGTCAACGCAATTTGTGTCGGAATGAATGTGGCAAGAGCATCTTTGACAGCGATTCTTGAGACTCGCGGTTTTCCTGGATGAAGCAAACGCGCAATGATGGTGGTGATGTTGATGGTGGTGATGGTGGTGATGTTGATGGTGGTGATGGTGGTGGTGATGTTGATGATGGTGATGGTGGTGATGGTGGTGATGGTGGTGGTGGTGATGTTGATGGTGCTGATGTTGATGGTGGTGGTGATGTTGATGGTGGTGGTGGTGATGGTGGTGATGTTGATGGTGGTGATGGTGGTGATGGTGGTGGTGGTGATGTTGATGGTGGTGATGTTGATGGTGGTGATATTGATGGTGATGGTGGTGATGTTGATGGTGGTGATGGTGGTGATGTTGATTGTGGTGATGGTGGTGATGTTGATGGTGGTGATGGTGGTGATGTTGATGGTGGTGATGGTGATGGTGATGATGTTGATGGTGGTGATGTTGGTGGTGATGTTGATGGTGTTGATGGTGGTGATGTTGATGGTGGTGATGTTGATGGTGGTGATGGTGGTGATGTTGATGGTGGTGATGTTGATGGTGGTGGTGATGTTGATGGTGGTGATGTTGATGGTGGTGATGGTGGTGATGTTGATGGTGGTGATGGTAGTGATGGTGGTGATGTTGATGGTGGTGATGTTGATGGTGGTGATGGTGGTGATGTTGATGGTGGTGATGGTGTTGATGGTGGTGATGTTGATGGTGGTGATGGTGGTGATGTTGATGGTGGTGATGTTGATAGTGGTGATGGTGGTGATGTTGATGGTGGTGATGTTGATGGTGGTGATGGTGGTGATGTTGATGGTGGTGATGTTGATGGTGGTGATGTTGATGGTGGTGGTGATGGTGGTGATGTTGATGGTGGTGATGGTGGTGATGTTGATGGTGGTGATGGTGGTGATGATAGTGATGGTGGTGATGTTGATGGTGGTGATGTTGATGGTGGTGATGGTGGTGATGTTGATGGTGGTGATGTTGATGGTGGTGATGGTGGTGATGTTGATGGTGGTGATGGTGTTGATGGTGGTGATGTTGATGGTGGTGGTGATGTTGATGGTGGTGATGTTGATGGTGGTGATGGTGGTGATGTTGATGGTGGTGATGGTGGTGATGTTGATGGAGGTGATGGTGGTGGTGATGTTGATGTGATGGTGATGGTGGTGATGGTGGTGATGTTGATGGTGTGATGGTGGTGATGTTGATGGTGGTGGTGATGTTGATGGTGGTGATGGTGGTGATGTTGATGGTGGTGATGTTGATGGTGGTGATGTTGATGTGGTGGTGATGTTGATGATGGTGGTGATGTTGATGATGATGAACATCGCTCCGTGTGATGTATTATACAGTTTATACTGTACGGCTAATTGTCCTTTGCGCGGCAGGGGTGTGTGTGTCACTACGGATACGATTGTATCCCATTGCCCACGTGGGTATATTTGTTTAGTTTAAACGATTTAACCACATTCATACCGCTGTATATATTTGTTTTGCATTAACGCGTGTCTGTGTGTGTGTCTCGAGTTGACGATTATCTGAACCGGTCCTGGGCCTCCCCCAGGTCGACTCAGCCTCAAATGAGTACCTGGTGCGATGTGTCAACATCGCCACTGGGGAGACAAAGGCGGCCGGGCGTGGTGTTGACCACCCACCCCCTCGTGCGCCGTGCGGGCGTTCATAGGTGCCGCTCGCTCACAGCACTTGCCCCTACAGTCTGTCGAAAGGCTACACGGGGGATCTTTGTCTTTTGTCTCGAGGTACACATGCGTATCCTGCATGCAAAGCGAGTGAATGTGCGCGCAGAACTGCGGCGTGTGAGCGAGTATGGTGCATGGCCGAGCGCGTTTGACTCAGTGGTGAGTGAACGCGCTTTAGTCGTGAATCCGACAGAAAAAAAAAAACCTGAGTTCAATTCCCAGCCACGGCTATCATCAGTGGCGACGAATAACCCCACCCCCTTCATTCACCAACACGCACTGACCAGCGTGGTGAAGTATGGTCAACAAATCTCCTCTTCCCCAATACCTCCACGGCGTGCGGGGAGGGCTTGTATCCAGCAGTGGATAACCGGCATCTCCGATGAGCACGGTGGGCTACGCGCGGTTACGAAACAAGTCCCACGTCCACCAAGTCGTAGACACAGGGACGAAGGGCCGTACTTGATGCCATGGTGCGTATTGTGTCGGCGCATTCACGTGACGAACCACGCTTTGAATTCCGGACGCTGTGCAGGAAAACCAGCGCGAACATTTGACGGCTTAGAGGCGCGGAGAGGGAGGAGGGAAAGTCTTGAGCCTGGACTTGAAGTGCCACGGGGAGTCGACAGCACGGACGGCTGGTGGAGGGAGGGGAGTTCCAGGCTGTGGAGGAGGGGGGGGGCAGCAGAGGAGAATGGGCGACCTCCCATTGAGCGGAGGTCGAGACAGAGACCAGGAGAGCATCGGTCTCTGTGGAGCAGAGAGAGAGAGAGATGAGAGTAGAGTGAGATGAGAGTAGAGTGAGATGAGAGGTAGGAGAGTGCGTGGAGGGGGGTAGAGTGAGATGAGAGGGGAGAGGTAGGAGAGTCCGTGGAGGGGAGTAGAGTGAGATGAGAGGCGAGAGGTAGGAGAGTGTGTGGAGGGGAGTAGAGTGAGATGAGAGGGGAGAGGCAGGAAAGTGCGTGGAGGGGAGTGGAGTGAGATGAGAGGGGAGAGGTAGGAGAGTGTGTGGAGGGGAGTGGAGTGAGATGAGAGGGGAGAGGTAGGAGAGTGTGTGGAGGGGAGTAGAGTGAGATGAGAGGGGAAAGGTAGGAGAGTCCGTGGAGAGGAGTAGAGTGAGATGAGAGGAGAGAGGTAGGAGAGTGCGTGGAGGGGAGTAGAGTGGGATGAGAGGTAGGAGAGTGTGTGGAGGGGAGTAGAGTGAGATGAGAGGTATGGGAGTGCGTGGAGGGGAGTAGAGTGAGATGAGAGGGAAGAGGTAGGGGAGTGCGTGGAGGGGAGTAGAGCGAGATGAAAGGGGAGAGGTAGGGGAGTTCGTAGAGGGGAGTGGAGTGAGATGAGAGGGGAGAGGTAGGAGAGTGCGTGGAGGGGAGTAGAGTGAGGGGAGAGGTAGGGGAGTGCGTGGAGGGGAAGTAGAGTGAGATGAGAGGGAGAGGTAGGAGAGTGCGTGGAGGGGAGTAGAGTGAGATGAGAGGGGAGAGGTAGGAGAGTGTGTGGAGGGGAGTGGAGTGAGATGAGAGGGGAGAGGTAGGAGAGTGCGTGGAGGGGAGTCGAGTGAGTTGAGAGGTATGGGAGTGCGTGGAGGGGAGTGGAGTGAGATGAGAGGGGGGAGGTAGGAGAATGCGTGGAGGGGAGTAGAGTGAGATGAGAGGGGAGAGGTATGGGAGTGCGTGGAGGGGAGTGGAGTGGGATGAGAGGGAGAGGTAGGAGAGTGCGTGGAGGGGAGTAGAGTGAGATGAGAAGGGAGAGGTAGGAGAGTGCGTGGAGGGGAGTAGAGTGAGATGAGAAGGGAGAGGTAGGAGAGTGTGTGGAGGGGAGTAAGAGTGGGATGAGAGGTAGAGGAGAGTGTGGAGCGGAGTGGAGTGAGATGAGAGGGGAGAGGTAGGATAGTGTAAGGAGAGGAGTAGAGTGAGATGAGAGGGGAGAGGTAGGGGAGTGCGTGGAGTGGTGCAGAGTGAGATGAGAGGGCGAGGGGTGGCGAATGCGATCTTGAAGTCGATCCAGAATCAGAATCTTTATTTAGACTGACCCCGCATATCTAAATAATTATATAGCGGCACACTGCGCGAATCATCAGTCGCGCGTGTAAGTAAATACGCGCATAGCTTTAGGTGAAAGTTAATCGCGCACGTGGGTTCGCACGGCAGCCTCGCAAACACATTACACAGAATGTGCGTGCGCCAGTGTGTGCGTGCGCGCGTGTGGGGAGCGGTGGTGTAGCGGTTAGCGCTACGCTGCGCTGCGCTATGAACCCGGCGACCCGAGTTCGATTCCCGCTCACGGCCAACACCACTGACGATTATCTGAACCGGTCCCGGGCCTCCCCTAGGTCGACTCAGCCTCAAATGAGTACCTGGTGCGGTGTGTAAAAACATCGCCGCTAGGGAGACAAAGGCGGCCGGGCGTGGTGTTGGCCACCCACCCCCCTCGCGTGCCGTGCCGGCCTTCATAGGTGCTCGCTAACAGCACTTGCCCCTACAGTCTGTTAAGGCTATACGGGGGATCTTTGTCTTTGTGCGCGCGTGTACGTTGCTGGAGAACGACCCGTGAAACCGGTAACCGTTTGCCCGAATCGATCGCCGGTTTCAAACGCCGTGAACCGGTAACCGTTTCCAATGGTTCGGAAGGAGGAGACGCCGCAGGTTCCCTGCAAGTTGCTCGCGCGCGGAGGTTGGCCTCAACTCGAGGGAGATGGAGTTGAAGCGGTGTGTGTGTTGTTGTGTGTGTGGTGTGTGTGTTGTGTGTGTGTGTTGTGTGTGTGTGGTGTGGGTGTGGTGTGTGTGTGTTGTGGTGTCTGTGTGTGTGTGTTGTGTGTGTGTTGTGTGTGGGTGTGGGTGTAGTGTGGTGTGGTGTGTTGTGTGTGTGTTGTGTGTGTGTTGTGTGTGTGTGTTTGTGTGGTGTGGATGTGTGTGTTTTGTGTGTTGTGTGTTGTGTGTGTGTTGTATGTGTTGTGTTTGTGCTGTGTGTGTTGTGTGTGTGTGTGTGTTGTGTGTGTGTGTTGTGTGTGTATAGTGTGTGTAGTGTGTGGTGTGTGAGGCTCTCAGTCATTTGCTGCTTCCGCTGCTCACGACGCCACCGATGCGGCAGCTGCCGTTCCTGTCTCGGGTGAAACGGCATCTTACGCTCGTGCCGCGAACCGGTAAAAACCGGTTTTGTAAACCGGTTTTGTAAACCGGTTTTTCATTTATGTTCGTGCCGCGAACCGGTGAAACCGGGGTAATTTTTTAAACCGGTTTTTAATTTCTGTTCGTGTGGCGAACCGTTAAAAACCGGTTTTTTTCATTCCTGTTTGTGCGGGAAACCGGTTTAAAAAAAACGGTTTCTGTGCGTGCGTCAAACCGGTTAAACCCGGTTTTCCATGCGGTTACCGGTAACGTCGAGGGGCAGTAGGCTAACCGATCGCTCCACCGCCGTGGAAGTTCCATTCATTTCCCCGTTACAACGCAATGCGGCAGGCTTGTGTTTAGTGCTCGATTCATTTTATGTAGGATTTTGTATTTAAAAACGGTTAAAACCGATTAAAAAAAACAACGGGTTTTCTATACAGTTAACGGTAATGCACGAACATTTGTTTTTACTAAAAAAACAAGACAAAGACCCCCCGTATAGCCTGCCCAGACTGTTGGGGCAAGTGCTGTTAGCGAGCACCTATGAAGGCCGGCACGGCACACGAGGGGGTGGGTGGCCTGCGCCACGCCCGGCCGCCTTTGTCTCTCCAGTGGCGATGTTCACACACCGCACCAGGTACTAATTTGAGGCTGAGTCGACCTAGGGGAGGCCCAGGAACTGTTCAGATAAACGTCAGGTTCGTAGCGCAGCGCCCTAACCACTACCCCCCCCCCCCCCACGCTACGAATCCAGACACCCGAGTTCGATTCCCGCTCACAGCAAACACCAGTGACGATTATCTGAACCGGTCCTGGGCCTCCCCTAGGTCGACCACAGCCTCAAATGAGTAGCTGGTGCGGTGTGTGAACATCATCACTGGGGAGACAAAGGCGGCCGGGCGTGGAATTGGCCAACGTTTTCGGCCTTAATAGGCGCTCGCAAACAGCGCTGTTACGGGTGATATTTGCATGTGTGTGCCAGTATGTGTGTATAAATATACGTAGGTGTGTCTGTACATACAGTCGGTGTGTCTGTGTGCATCTGTGTGTATGTGTGTGTGTAATGGAAAATATTTGTTTGTGTGTATAATATCAAATAATACAATCACGGCTGATGATAATGAAATGTGTGTATATATACACGCGCCTATAAATAAACACGTACTCTACATAACATACCCGCGCGCGTGCGTGCGCGTGTCACTGTGTCGAGGGAGCGGTGGCGCAGTGGTTAGCGCACTGCACTACGATCCCGGCGGGCCCAAGTTCGATTCCCGCCCACGTCTACACAACACTGGTGACGAATATCCTCGTAGTTTCTTGCCCCCCACTCCCCTGTGTCCACTCAACCTTAAATGAGTACCTGGTACTGCCGGAGACAAAGGCGGCCGGGCGTGGAATTAGCCACCTAGCCCCCTCTGCCTTCATAGCGGCGCTAGCTAATACTGCACTTGCCCCAACAGTCCGTTAAAGGCTATGCGGGGGATCTTTGTCTCTGTGCGTAAGTCGCAAGTCTTCATCAACAGATCACACACACACATTATACACACGCGTAACCTGTACTCGTGTTGTGTATATATTCGTGTGTATTTGTAAGTTCACACACACACATATATTATACACACGCGCGCGCGTTTGTGTATCAAACACACACAAATACACAGAGACAAAGATACCCCATCTAGCCTCTAACAGACTGTTGTGGCAAGTGCTGCATTACGGCACGCGCGGGGGTGGGGGTTCGGTGGCCAACACCACGCCCGGCCGCCTTTGTCTCCCCAGTGCTGATTTTTTTTGTTTTGTACACACCGCACATACACGAGACGGAGCTGAAAGACGGTTCAGATATTCGCTTCAACACACGCACACGCACGTTTAACACACGTGTGTGTGTGCACTTTACAGGTACTTGCGTATGTAATACATACGCACGAGTGTATGTGCGTGCACGGACACACGTACATACACTCGCGCGCGCGTGTGTACGCGTGTGTGTGTACACACACATACACATGTGTGTATGTATGTGTGTGTGTACACAGACACATATATACACACATGTACACACACACATACACGTGTGTATATATGTGTGTACATGTGTATATATATGTGTGTGTGTACACACACACGTGTATGTGTGTGTGTACATGTGTGTATATATGTGTGTGTATATATGTGTGTGTATACACACGTGTGTGCGTCCACACGTGTGTGTGTGTATATATGTGTATGTGTGTGTGTATACACACACGTGTGTGTATATATGTGTGTGTACACGTGTGTATGTACACACACGTGTATGTGTGTGTGTGTACACGTGTGTATGTGTGTGTGTACACACACGTGTATGTGTGTGTACACACACGTGTGTATGTCTGTGTGTGTACACGTCTGTATGTGTGTGTACACACACGTGTATATATGTGTGTGTACACGTGTGTATGTGTGTGTGTACACACACGTGTGTATGTGTGTGTGTACACACACGTCTGTATGTGTGTGTACACACACGTGTATGTGTGTGTGTGTACACGTGTGTATGTGTGTGTGTGTACACGTGTGTATGTGTGTACACACACGTGTATGTATGTGTGTGTACACACACGTGTATGTGTGTGTGTGTACACACACGTGTATGTGTGTGTGTGTACACACACGTGTATGTGTGTGTGTGTACACGTGTGTATGTGTGTGTACACACACGTCTGTATGTGTGTGTGTGTACACACACGTGTATGTGTGTGTGTGTACGCAACACAACTTGCTTCCTCCCTATTGGTCGCGGCGCGAACAGGGGTCGCGCGCGGTGCGGGGGAGTGGGAGGGGGGCGGGGCTAGGCGGGGGTGGGGGGGGGGTAGCCCCGCCCCTCAGGTGCATTCCCCCCCTCCCCCCTCCCGCTTGTGGAGGGGAGGGAGGGAGGGAGAGTTACAAAGTGGGGTTGGGAAGACGAGGAGGAGGAGAGAGAGAGTAACTCTCTCTCGTGGTGCTGCTGGTGGTGCTGGTGGTGGTGGGGGGAGTTGTGGTGGACGAGAGGGGAGGGGGGGAGGGAGTGGAGGATGTAGACTTGTGGGGTGGCGAGAGGGGAGGGGAGAGAGGGGGGAGAGAGGGGAGGGGGGAGAGAGGGGAGGGGGGAGAGAGGGGAGGGGGGAGAGAGGGGAGGGGGGAGAGAGGGGAGGGGGGAGGTTTCGCGTTCAGTCGCTGTTGGCTCCTGCCGCGATCTCACCTCTCTGCGCTCGCCTCTCCTCCTCCTTCCTCCTCCTCCTTCCTCCTCCTCCTTCTTCCTCCTCCTCGTCGCCTTTCCCCGTCGGCAACCACCACCACCGCCGCCGCCGCCGCCGCTGCCGTGACCCCGTCTCGCGCCGCGTCTCACCGCACCACCTCCACCTCCTCCTCCTCCACAGCAGCGTGGACATGCTGGACATGGGCGATCAGCGCGCAGAGAGGAAGGCCGGACCCAAGACGACGTCCTTCACCATCGACAGCCTCCTGCCCGAGACGGTCCAACACTCGCTACCGCCGCCGCCCTTATTGCACCACCAAAACCACAACCACCACCACCATCACCACCACCACCAGCACCACCACCAGCAGCAGCAGCAACAGCAGCAGCATCACCACCAGCATCATAGGCCGCTAAGTAGCAGCGGTCGACTGTCCGCCGTGGATATCGCCGCACAGCAACAACAACAACAGCAACAACAGCAGCAGCCGTCATTCCGGGTGATCTCCGCTGTGCGCGAACCGATCGTGAATGTCGACGGTGTGAGCAGCGGCAACAGCAGCGGCAGCAGCAGCAGCAGCAGTAGTCGCCCGGGCAGTCCGGAGGCGGGGAGGCGGGTCGACTCGAAGCCAGCGACGGGAGGAGGTGCCGCCGCGCACGGCGAGGAAGCGAGGCCGCGTAGCCCGGAGCGCAAAGGCTCCGTCGAGAAGGACATCGGTGTAGCTGTGCCAACAGCAGCAGCGGCAGCAACAGCAGCAGCAGCGGGGGCTGTCGGTAGCGGAGGAGGCGAGACGGGCAAAGACGGAGAGAAGAAGAACGGCAAGTACGAGAAGCCTCCGTTCAGCTACAACGCGCTCATCATGATGGCCATCAGGCAGAGTCCCGAGAAACGGCTCACGCTCAACGGCATCTACGAGTTCATCATGACCAACTTCCCCTACTACCGCGAGAACAAGCAGGGCTGGCAGAACTCGATCCGGCACAACCTGAGCCTCAACAAGTGCTTCGTGAAGGTGCCGCGCCACTACGACGACCCGGGCAAGGGCAACTACTGGATGCTCGACCCGTCGAGCGACGATGTCTTCATCGGGGGCACCACCGGCAAGTTACGTCGGCGTTCCACCACGTCGCGGGGCAAGCTCGCCTTCAAGCGGGGCGCCCGCTTCGCCCCGGCTGCCTTCGCGTTCATGGAGCGCGGCAGCTCGCTGTACTGGCCCGTATCGCCGTTCCTCTCGCTCCACCACCACCACCATCACGCTCAGCAGCAGCAGCACCACCACGCGCACCAGCCGCAGCACCATCACCACCACCACCACGCGCACCACCAGCAGCACCATCACGCGCAGCAGCATCACCATCACATCGTCGCGGGAGGTGGCGGCGGCGGTGGTGGTGGTGGCGTCGGAGGAGGAGGAGGAGGGGTTGTCGGCGGTGCTGCAGCTGCTGCGTCGGCGCTCAGCTACGCGTGCGCCGCGTCGCCCTACACCGCCGGCCACCACCACCACCACCACTCGGCCGCGGCCGCCGCCTGCCGCTGCCGCCTACGGCTCCGTTCTCTCCCAGAGCTCCTTGGGCGGCGGGGGAGGCGCGGGCGGAGGTGGAGGAGTAGGCGGAGGGTCGTCGGGCACGGCGGGTGGGTCCGGAGCGGGCAGCCTGACCGTCGAGAGGTTGGTGGGTGGCGACCTGCAGCCCTACGCGTCCCACCACCTCTCGGCAGCCGCGGCCCTGGCCGCATCCGTCCCGTGCGCCACGGCTGCCGCGGCCGCTGCGGCTGCGGCGGCGGCCGCGGGAGGGCCCTACGGAGCCCTGGGGCCGTGCTCGGTCGGCCTTCTCGCTGCCGGGCAGGGCGGCTACTTCTTCCCGCACATGGGCGCCGCGGCTGCAGCAGCGGCAGCCGCGGCCGCTGCTGCGGCAGCCGCGGGCGGAGGAGGTGGTGGTGGTGGTGGTGGAGGTGGCGGGTCGAGCAGTCAGGGAATCATCCAAGGTGCCGGCTCGCCCCCGCTGTCGCAGTCGAGCCCGCACTCTGGCGGGTTGATTCCCGGCTGCGAGGTGCTGAGAGGGCCGCTGTCTTCGTTTCACGCGGGACTGCCCGGTGGACTGGCGGGCTATTTCGCGCAGCATCAGACGGGACATTCAGCCAACAGTCTCTTACACTGACGGTGGTGGTGGTGATGATGGTGGCGGTGATGATGATGATGGTGGTGATGGTGGTGATGATGGTGAATGTTGCTTCACCACCCCCCCCCAACTCCCCACCAAATTCACCCGCAATGTCTGCGTCCTTCCACCTCGTCCGTCATCATCATCGTCGGCAGCTCTCACCGTTCGCCCACCCCCCCCCCCCCCCCCCCCCACGTGTGCTCCTGTAAGTTCGTATTTTGTACAATATACTATATATAAATACGTCAGTCGTCTATTTTGTTTGTAATATGTTTCTTTAACTTGTGTTGTTGATCAATATTCGATGCCATGCAGTTTTATTTATGAACACTCTTAAACGGGGAAACGGAACGAGGGAAATGAGACTTGAGCTTAAAAAGAAATCGTCAAGCTGCGATATCCACTCGTTCACTGACGCGTTCATTCACACACTGACGCACTCAGAGACTAACAAACTCACTCACAGACTCACAAACTCACTCACAGACTCACAAACTCACTCACAAACTCACTCACAGACTCACAAACTCACTCAAAGACTCACACACTCTACAAACCCACTCATAGAATCAAACTCACTCGGACTCACAGACCGACCCACAGAACCAGAAACAGACTCACTCACAGACTCACTCACAGACTCGCACCGATTCTCACACCGACTAATTCACGGGCCTAACTCACTCGCTCACAGAGACGAGGACTCACGAAGGATTGACAATTGCCTAAATCTGTCCCGTGTCGCCATTGAAGTGTTGTAGGAAATTGTATATGATTTACCGTCATATATTTGTCATTCCGTGTTTTCCCAAGTCTCTTAGCGAATATATTATAAATATATTATTGTTAATATTATTGTTATTATATTAAACACGTTACCGATGGAAATGTACGCATGTGTACAAATGTAAGTGCAATTCAACCTCTCCCTATCCCACGCTCCCCATATAACTCTTTGTGTACATGTATGCACGCACGCACACACACACTAATACACAGCAAACACATATACACACACGCGCATGCTATAACACGCGCATGCTATAACACGCGCGCGCACCATATACAGACAGATCCCTCGTATCGTTCCAACACGCAGCATACACACTTACACCCCCCCCCCCCCCGCCAAACATACATACACAAGCCAATACACACCTAAGAAATAAACACACGCACCTCATCTAAAATACAAGGATACCCGGTGTACAAAGACACACACGCGCCGATATACAACAACGAAATATAAACACACACCGTAAATACCGATACAAGACAAAGATTTCCCGTATAATTCTAGATTTGAAGCTTTCGTGAGTGCAAGGATTCATATTTTTTTTTCGGTTAAGTCACGTAGGTAAAAAATTAAAATTAAGAAAAGTAAAGTCAAATAAAAAATCACGACGTTTCGGAGGCAACACAAGCTTCCGTCTGCAGGTGGAACCGTCACAGCACGATTACTGTTTACGTGACTTTACCGAAAAAACTAAGAATATTTCCCGTATAAACATCACAGACTGTTGGGGCAAGTGCTGTTAGCGAGCACCTGTGAAAGGCCGTAACGCTGCACGTGGAGGTGTGTTGCCAACACACACACACACACACACACCACACATCACTCAGCTACAGCCCATGCGTACGTACACGATAACCACACTATTAAACACACACACACACAAACAACACACTCACACACTAACAGTGCAAGCCTAAACACACACTTGTTACACCACACACACTACACTCCACAGACAAGCCCGTTCATATACAACGGCACAGGCGTACACGCCAAACACACACAATACGCATCTGCTGCATACACAAATACATAACGCACACATATATATAATAACACAATTCACACAACTACGCACACCAATATAGACACTCAATAACACTAACAATCGCGCACCCTGCATAGGCTACAGCGCGTACACATATATACATTGCAGACACTAACCACATATATATACAATACACACAATATACATATGACACAAAGCACATGTTTACACGCTAAATGTATGCATACACGAACGCATGTAGATACACTAAAGATACATCGCACACAGTAAGCACTCGTGAAAATGCTTTCGGTACACAGCACACACGCGAAACACAAAATACACAATACACACACGATAAAATAACACGCACACAACGCCTGCACATGCACACCCTACACACACACACTGAACGCACACACGCAATGCAAGAAATAAATTAAATACACATACACATCACACGAAGCACATGGACAAACAGGCACACACAAGACACACACACATACCACAAACGCGACACACACAAACATGTATACACACACACGACACACGCTATACACACATACTGCACACACACAACGCACACACTAAATAAATAACATATACACAAACACAACACCCTAACACAAACGCACACACTGAATACACACACACATGCACAATATGCACGTACATAACACCGAAACACACACACGCGTACACACATATATGCACACCACCGTAAATACACAAACTTCACATACTGAACACACACATATAGACCTACACAACACACACGCGTACACACACACATACACAGTATAAACCACAGTAAACATTAAATAAACAGAGACTGCACACAATTAACACACACACATAAACACAATACACACCGACACAACACCCTGACACACACACCCTGACAGGCACAAGTATAAATTACCGTAAATACACACATATATCTATAACCCACCGTAAGAATATACTGCGCGCACACACAATACCCCAACACGCACACGCACACAGGACTGCTATGTAAATATGAGATTACGACGGTCACGTGGCGGTCTAGGTGACAATGATGATGATGATGCGTGATGAGGATTTTGACAGATTTCGCTTCCGAGCAAATAAATCAAAAATTCCTTCGACGATTATCACGACTCGTGCCAACGTCATTGGCGTCGTTATCATGATTAATTTATTGTAATCATCGCAAAGACAATTACACTATATTGTTTTTAAACGTACACGGGCACGGTCAAACATGTGTGGGAGGCTTATTTTAAAATCGTAAGATCTATCGTTAATATAATAATGATTATTATATATTTTTAAAAAACGTACAAGTTTATATTCGGCCTAAATAAATTCTCAATGCGGTGTTTATTTGCGATGCGGAGACAATTGTTACGTTGTGGAATTTGGTCACAATGCGCTCGGGTTGAAACTGCTGCAGAAATTAATGAGATTTTAATTTCAGCTTTGCAGATGGGGAGATGGGGTCGAGGGGGGGGGACTGCAGAAGTTGGAGGGGAGAATGGAATGGGGGGAGGGAGGCTCTCATATTTTGTTTAAATGCGGATAAGTGACATAAACTTTAACCAAATTAAAATAACGAGCAAAAAAATCCGTATCATGTTATTGCTGGAAATTCCACATTCCTATGTCCGGGGCGGGGGAGCCGTTTGCGGGTGGGGTGGAGGGGGGTCTGTCCGTAGGAAAACAACCACCACTTGATTTCCTCACGTAGTAGTACCAATTTTATCGGCCCCGGAGAGATGGTGAGGATGATGGGCTAATTCATTTACCACCACCTTGCATTTCTCGCAGTCCTTCCGATGAATGTGAGCCGCTCGCTCTACTGCTGGACGGTTATAAAATAACGGCTCTCGTTAAAATGTCGTGCTGATAATGATGATGATCTTGACATTCTATTAGAGATTTTTTTTTTAAACCGCATGAATCTGTTACCGCTGCAATGAATGAAAATGAAATTAACGATGATAACTGCCGTCCAACCCCCAGCTACTGCTGCTGTTAGCATCATCATTCGGTGAACGACATCAACGACCCGGATGCTGATAATGATAACAATGACGACAATGATTATGTTAATGATGGTGATGATAACGACGATCGTGACAATATAGCTGATGATGATAACAATGATGATGATGACGACGGTGATAATGACGATGAAAGTGACGGCGATGATTATGACGGTGTCGATGGTGGTGATGATGATGACGACGTTGATGATGGAGGCAGGGTTCGATCCGCGATGAAGGTCGATGTAGATATTGTACATGCGCAAGGACAGCGTCGCGAAACGGCCTTCGACGATTCTGTTGTTGATGCGACACCCATCCCGTCCCCTCGCGAGACACACACACAGAGACACACCACCCCACTAACAATTGCTGGTTTATATGATTTTATATGACGATGATGCTGATGACAACAACAACAATAATTACTTGTTAGTATTATTGTTCAATACAATGCAAAAGCGAATTTAAAAAAAGAAACGGTACAAAATATGATTGCAACATCAGCGACAACAACAAGAACCATAAAATAAACTGAAGCAGGCCGACAATTTACCCGCGTGATGATTTATTTACGGTTATGGTTGTGATCAAAGAAGATCAATTAAGAAAAATACAAAGATCGCCCGTATAGTCTTAACGGGCTGTTGGGGCAAGTGCTGTTAGCGAGCACCTGTGAAGGCCGGCACGGCACACGAGGGGGCGGGTGGCCAAGCACCACGCCCGGCCGCCTTTGTCTCCCCGGTGGCGATGTTTACTGCTCGTTTAAAGGCCGAGTAGACCTAGGCAGGATCGGTCGTTCATGTATAATCGTCGCTGGGTTTTTTGTTATTTAGTGGTGGTTGGTGGTGGTGGTTGGTGGTGGTTGGTGGTGGTTGGTGGTTGGTGGTGGTGGTGGTGGTTGGTGGTGGTTGGTGGTGGTGGTTGGTGGTGGTGGTGGTTGGTGGTGGTCGTCGTGAGCGGGAATCGAACTCGGTTCGCCGGCCTCGGTAGTGCACCGATGACCGGATCCCAAAAAAAAAATCCCCACCACAGTTCGCGAACCGGTAACCGTTTTCAGTAGAATGTCACCAAATCGGATGGCAACCGACCTATTCGTGAATGTACTTCGTTGTTTTTTTTGTTTGTTAAACGGCAGCGCCGGGGAGATGGAATTGAACCGGTAACCTCTGGGTTGTATGCGTTCCACTGTTCGGACTCACAATGACAGCTGTTGTTGTTTTCCTCACATTTGAATGTTTTATTCTCCCCTTCACATTGTAGCGCTCGTCAGACAGACACAGGCAGTACAGTATACACAAAAGTGCGGTAAAACCGGTTACGGCATTTTGTTTAAACCGGTTTTTCCCCTTACGTGGTTTTCCGCGAATTCGCTTTCATGCTACATGCATGATTTTACAAGCAACCGTGAATTATTATAATAATCATTATCATTTGGAGGATACGGCGATGAAAGCGGTGTCATTGTGTCGACATCGACTGAGCGCGCTGCGTGTCGGGGACTTTGACGCGCGGCCGAATGTCCGAGGAAGGGCCCCCCTCTTGGTGAGTCGATGATTTTTGAGTGGCGTAAAAAAAAAACCCTCGAGAAACAAAAAACTCCGCAATGTTTACGATTAACAAAGACTAAAACCGACTCATCGAATCGCCAGTTACCCACCACACCCCCTCGCCCCGCCCACTAAGACAAAGACAAAGATCCCCCGTGTCGCCTTCACAGACTGTTGGGGCAAGTGCTGTTAGCGAGCACCTACGAAGGCCGGAACAGCACACGAGGGGGTGGGTGGCCAGCACCACGCCGGACCGCCTTTGTCTCCCCAGTGGCGATGTTTTTACACACCGCACCAGGTACTAATTTGAGGCTGAGTCGACCTAGGGGAGGCCCAGGACCGGTTAAAATAATCGTCACCACGGGCGTTGGTGGCCGTGAGCGGGAATCGAACTCGGGTCGCCGGGTTCGTAGCGCAGCGTGGCGCTAACCGCAGCACCACCGCTCCTCACCATCACCACCTCCGCGCGCGTTTCACGACAGGTTATAAAACACCGATCGTGAACATACATAACACTGTGTGTGTGTA